TTGCTAGGGCGTTGCTATGCAGTTTCCAAGGTGTTCTGCGTGATTGCTTTGCTTAAAAAGAGAGAGTCAAAAGTGCTCATGCTCTCTGCGATATTAACTCTGTCATATTTGGGTTTGGGGTTTATTTAGATCACTAACCCTGAATATAAACTTGCTTTAGTGAGAAACAAAAGTGTGCTTCTGGTCTGGCCTGTTTTCTCCCCATATACAGCGACAGGCACGACGGGAACATCCGCCTGACAGCGGGACGATCGATTCACCTCAGAATAACGAGTCACCTCGAGATTTTCCCTGCTGAAACTGACACTTTGAATTGGATGAATATTTCATGGGCTCAGAAGAGAAGGTGATGAAAACAATGAATAATGCGAAAGGCCGTTTCCTTGAGGACACACGAAGGATCTTTTTTAAAAGGAGAGGAAATTAAAGTGTTTTTGCTTCCAGATCAGACTAACGATGCGCGTGCACTGGCGCGGAGAGGAGCAGACGCTTGCCATTCATTCTCTACGGGAGTCTCGCGCTGGGGATTGTGGGATTGATAGCATGGTGAGGATGTCAAAAAAAGTTCACGAATGTTCGACTTTGTGCAAATGAGAGGCGAAAAACGCCTAGCGATGCAGTGGATGACGCCTGTCCTGTCGTGCGTGTTTCGAAATCTGCTGATGGTGCCGGATTACTTAAATCACATTGCTACTATATTTAATTCAGATTTAAAATAGGGGCAGATATGGGGGGCCTTACCTTAGAGAATAATGTGCATTTACTTTTAAATTGTAAAATATGTAAGTTTATAAGTGCAGGATGAGGATGCGTCAGCCAATGTGTTATTATAGGAAATAAATAGAAACATTTTCAAATTTAGTTTGTTATAGAACAAAATGTAAAATTATTCAAAGAGCCCATCTTACCTGATGTAATTTGGCCTCCTATCTGTTACATTTACAGAATGTAGAAATGACTTTTGATATAATTTTTATTAATATTTATATAATTTTTAAAGTGTCTTTAATGTAAAATACTAAATCAGCTATTCTATTTTAATTTGATTTTTGACTATATAGTTAAGATTTAGGGTTAGGGTTAATAATAATTGAATAACCGATGAGAGACAAAGCAGAATCAGTAACAGAGAATTATGTGAAAGGTAAAATTATTCTGTGACTTATTTACAGGCATATCTTTACATATTTAATTGCCCATATTTTAATCGAAGATATGTCATAATAGCAACACTAATTTTAACAATAAATTGAATAATTTCACTCAACTAACCTATAGGTTTTAATGCAAGCAAATATGTCTGAAATGTACATCTAATTCATGGAAATTCTGAATAATAACGCTATTAATTACAATAATTATTAAATTTAAAACAATAACACTAACAACATGGTAATTGCTGAGATGAGATTTTGTGTCATCTATATGGTCAGGAGAAAGTTAACCATGCTCATCTTACCCCGACTTATACTCTTATACTCCAGATTGTGGCTGGGTTAACACAATTGTATTGAATTTGCACTTGGGCGTTTTGCATTTTTTCTGTATTAAACTTGTTTATTTGAAACTTTATTGGCTGTATTGTCATAATTTACACATAGTTACGCATAATTTACGCCTTACTTCCTCGCTGACTGGATGATACGCAAACATTGCATGTATGGTGGCCATGATGCTATCCTAATCTCCCTGTGAGTGCTGCATTTATCAGATTTCTGACACAAATCTGCAGGAATGATGTAATAATGAACCTGTGTGTTATTAGACCTAGTGCTAGAGGAACCAATAACACAGCTGTGGCACCTCAGAGAAGCTGTGATGTCACATGATCACATCTCAAGGCTCAGAGAGGCTTATGTCACTCACAGAAATCACATCACAGTTGCCCATACACAGATATGCTGCAATGAAGATGCGTGATGCCCTGCGGTTTCCTGAGGATGGATGTTATTTGACATGGTGATTTCATTCTTTGAATATAAAGGGTCAAATAGAAGGAGGTTGAATTAAGCAAAGCTGACGTGCTGATGCGCAGTTAATGCACGACACATAGTGACACGAGTTTGAGGCGTGCTTGTGTCATGTTTCAATCATATTCCTCATTATTTCCCTCATATTTCCTTTCATGTCCAATTAAGTCAAAAAAGCCCATGGATTACTATTAAACAAAATAATATTATATGATAGAATGACTATGACTAACATGAATATATTATAGTGTAACTGATGAATGCATAAGTGCCTATTTGGTTGAAATGTTATTGTTTTTAATGATTTTTTTGTATGAAGGTTAAATTTAGGTAGAAATTCAGATTCTCTTTCAAAAGCTTTCAACTTCCATAATATGATGTATTTACGATAAACTAAACATGCTGCAAAAATTAAAACGATTACCTAAAAACATTTGAAACATTTGATAGAAAATAAGCACATATTAAATCTAGTATCTACACAGCATTCTGAGCATGCTGACTTCAGACATTGATGGATGGCTTTCTGTATACGGCCAGTGATGACGTTGGCAGTGATGAAGGATGAGCACAGATCTGAAACCTGCTGATGATCATTGATCGCTCATGATGCTGGCACAGATCTCCACACTGATGCGCATGCATTATCTGCTTCAGGTTGACTAATCAAACTCAGGTTATCTATGCAAAACACACTCCTACTAAAACTGTCCTGTACTTTTGGAACAAGGGACTGTTTTCTTGTAATGTAATACAGGGCCGTAACCAGAATCAGAAAGATTTTCACTGCATAGCTCATGCACAGATTTGGTTTGGTAACAGATGCTTCCAGTCTTCATAGAAACACAGGCATTACAGAAGAATATAATTTACAGAAAAAAATACAAAAAGTATATGCAACGAGGTATGAGTCTGTACAGGACGTTTAAATGTAACCAAATATGAAGATCAAATAAGTTATAAACATTGTGCATTGAATACCACTGGAGGATATTGATATTTCATGGAAGGTTTAGCTATATAAATCACTAGAGATATTCAGGGAGAAACTTCCTCACAATGTTTAATTTAGTGATTGATCAAAAGAGTTTATAACAGAATTACAGAGGCGACACCCTTGATGTAGCCTAATGTTTTTTTATTATGTTCCCATAGACTTTATCAAAGATTAGTGATGGGTCGTTCGCGAATGAGTCGGCTCTAAGAGCCGGCTCTTGTAGGTGAACGACGGGAGCTGGCTCGCATATCTGAAGAGGCGACTCTATTTTTAAAAATATAGCCTATATAGAAATTAAATCATTATGTAATAATGAAATAGTGAATGATTTTTTAAAAATGATTGACTAATTCAAAGAACAAAAAATAAATAAATTATATAGGCCTAAAGGCGTTCGTTTCGACTGTCTGATCAGCCTCACATTCTCTTCCTGTCAATCATACACGAGGTGTCAACCAATTATACGGCATGAGGGAGGGGCCAAGCCATTGTGTGTGTGTGTGTGTGTGTGTAGTATTCTTTTTTCATAACAAATCAATGCATTTTTAAAGAAATTGTGAGACATTGTGAGTATGATTTCATTTAATAATTTAATTAGAATTGTTTTCAGACCTATCATAGTCAAAACATTATTTTTTTTAAAGAGCCGTTTGTGAGCCAAAAGAGCCGGCTCTTTTCAGTGAGCTGAGTCAAACGAGCCGGCTCACGAAAAAGAGCCGGATTGCCCATCACTATCAAAGATACTATGGCTTTTATGGTTACAGTGAGCGCCCTCTAGAGCTTCTCAAGACCATGCGCAACATTGAGTTGTGAGCCAAAAAGAAAGAAAAATCAGTAGAGATCTATATCTCTACTCTCTATATCTCAATGGTTTCTCCTAGACGTCAATGAGATTAAATGGAGAGCAAAACTGATGCTTTACAGCACAAAAAACAGTGAGCCACTGAACAGATCACGTGTGAATATTCAATACTTCTCATCCGTAAATAATGTGTTGTTTTTAATTGTACTGCAAACAGTAATCAAATATGCATGGCTCATTAGGCGGATGCTTTTCCGAAGTGAATTATACAATGCATTTTCTACTGACAGTCCTTTTTCTACTGTAAAACTCCAGTAACTTCCCTTCTGGGTTTGATTATCAGCCCAGATCTTTAACCATTAGTTATTTCACTGTGACCTTTGACCCCTGAGATGTGTAGAAGAGCACAGCCTGAGCACATAAAGAATGAGAAGAATAAGGCCAGGCTCTTATTCCTAATGAAGACATTGGAAAATAATTAAAGACAGTTCAAAGGTTATTTTTAATCATTCAAAGTGTGTAATTAAGGTTAAATGTTCAGTCTGTTTGTGCAGAACATGACAAAAACACAATACAAAACACAAGCAATGGATCATTCATGCAAAATAAAATAAAAATACCCTTTTATTTTGCTAAGAGGTTTATATGCACATTATTTAAGTTACTTAGCTATTTTTATACACTTTTGTTGAAGTTTGGCTATTTCATCATTATGCATGTAAAGTTTTATAAACCCTATACAACATTAATGCTGAATACGTGTAAAAAGGTTAATAATCTAATTGACGGGGAAATTTTAACACGTTGAATCAGCGTGATGTCTTCAAGAACATACAACAGAAAAATCTGTCTTTTTAATTATAAATGATCATTATAATTTTTTTATTCACATTTTATTGTATTTTGAAAATAAGACCTCTTCAGAAATCTAAATGTTAAACATATTATCAATAATAATAATAATAATAATAATATATAATTACATATTATAATTGACTATAAGTATAGTTTTATATATTTTTATTTAATGACTATTGATTTAACAACCACAATATTGCCATTGTATTCTTTGAAAAACCCTGCAGTGCCACATAAATACCCTGGTATATTAAGTTTAGTAGCATGTTATATATCAATGTTATCTGTTTTAAGTGTCACACTGTCTGAGTTTATATTCTTCTTAGTAAAGCAAGTTCGATAACTCATAATCGTCCTTTCTGAGCCTCTCGTGGACCCGTAGCTGTTCTCTTTTCCTCCACGTCAGCTGCATCTGCGCACTGCTCTCATCCACACATACATCAAGTTTTTTACACTGGGAATCGGACAGTAAAATCTTTCCCGACGTGACAATTATCGCATGGAGTGATGTTTAAGAAACTGAAGCAGAAGGTGAAAGAGGATCAGTCGCCTCAGCGGAGCAGCGCGCAGGCGCAGGTCAGAGCACTTTACTCATGTAGCATGTATGCTAACAAAAACAAAACACAACATCAAGTATACTACAAATATGCATTATAACACACTTACTAACGTATTATATATTTAAATTATAATATAAGCTCTTTAAATAACCAATAAACTAGCGGATTGGTTATACACTAACAAAACAGTACCAAAATCAGATGGTTTTAATATGGTACTGAATGATTACCATATTCATGGATCATGGTATTAACATGGTATTTCAATTAATGCTATGGTATTACCATGGTGATGATACTCAGATGATACTATGGTAGTTTGAAATATACATGGCACTGATATTAATGTACTATGGTATTTTCATGGTACTTCTAATAATACCATGGTACTACCTTGGTGCTTGTCTAAATAGCATGGTAATACCCCTGGTACATTTTGGTAACGTTATGTTATGTTAAATGGGTGTCACAATGTTACCTGTAACGTTACTATGGTACTGCCAGTATTTTTTTGTGTATTGACCATGGTATAAAAGATAAGTTATATAGTTAATATAATGACATTTAAGAGATGTTAGAGCCCATCAGAAGGTTTATGTCATCAGATCAGTCGTTTTTGGATTTTGGGTGTTGGTTTGTCAACTACTTAATGAACCACAGACCAATCTGACCTGTTAACCAGACCTGAGAGCACGTTTCCCTAAACAGACGCGCTACTGAAAGGTTAAACTAATACTTCAGTTGAAATTCTAGTTTGTCTGGTTTAATTATTAAGCAACGTTATAAATAAAAATGATATAATAATAATAAAAAGACATGCCAGTGTCATATTTTACCTCAAATCTATTTATATCTATTAATTTATCCATCTTTTTGTCTATTTATTTCATTATTTCTCAAACATATTTTACACAGTTTATTTCTATTCGCAGGATTTATCTAACAATTAAGCACATTTAAACCTAAACATAAAACATAATTTGATAAATGTAATTCTTATTAATTTGTTGTTGTAAAACTATATACATATATAGTATATACTTGTCAGAAAATGCAGGAGGAGTAGGAGGATTTTCATTACATATTATAGTAAGGAGTTTTTCTTGTACAATAATGGCAATATGAGAGGTATGGAAGCTTGTTTCCGCCACAGAATGAAAAATAAAAAAGGCAATTGCGACTTTTTATCTCACTATTCTGACTTTTTTTCTCTCAATTGCGAGTTTACATCTTGCAATTCTGACTTTATTTCTCAGAATTGCGAGATATAAAGTCAGAATTGCGTGATATAAAGTCGCAATTACAGGTTATAAAGTCAGAATTGATTGATATAAAGTCGCAATTGCGTGTTGTAAAGTCAGAATTGCATGAAATAAAGTCACAATTGCGTGTTATAAAGTCAGAATTGCGAGATATAGTCAGAATTGATTGATATAAAGTCACAATTACGTGTTATAAAGTCAGAAATGCATGATATAAAGTCGCAATTGCGTGTTGTAAAGTCAGAATTGTGAGATATAAACTATTCTGAGGGGAAAAAAGTCAGTCTTTTTTTCCCCTTAGAATTGGCCTAAGTTTATATCTCACAATTCTGAGAAAAGATGTCAGAATCTCTAGATATAAAGTTGCAATTATGTGTTATAAAGTCAGAATTGTGAGATAAAAAGTCTCAATTCTGTCTTTTTTTCTCGCAATTGCGACTTTATTTCTCACAATTCTGACTTCATATCTCGCAATTGTGAGATAAAAAGTCGCAATTATTTATTTTTATTCAGTGGCGGAAACAAGCTTCCATAGGGAAATATGCTTTATTGCATAAATAATATCATAATGCACAATCTCAATGTCCCTTTAATCAAAAAAATATTTGGACATTTTCTTCATGCAAAATTTAATTGATTATTTTTACTATTTAAATATGCCATTTCTTTTGTGTTCACGCTGAAATCAGTGCAGTAAAACACAAGGTTAAAGTCGGCATGAAACAGAAGTTGCGATAGTCTTTTCTTACGGCTTTTGGCACAAGAAGAAATGTAGGGCAGGGCTTGATTTTGTCCGTGGGTAATTAATTAGATGGTTGTGGTTTGCTATTGGTCGATCATGTGACTGACAGGTTGCCCCGCCCTCACGCTAGTAAACACGTCATCAGAGAGGAGAAGAGAGAGGGGAAGTTCATTTGATTCAAGATTACAAGGGCATGAATTTAACAAAAATAATGATGTGCAGTTGTGCACAGATAAATCATTTATAATAATAAAATACTGAAAAATTGTCCATTTTTGGTGACTTTATAGTTTCCTCTGTCTCTAATGTGTTTGGTGCACTGCTAGTGATTATTGTGTCTTGATGTATAACGCACATGTCTGTGTCCAGCAGGTGAGTTCAGGAGAGAGGCGTACTCAACCCCCTGTCCCGTACCAAGATGCCCCGGCCTCCCCCAACGACAGAGAGGTAAGCGGACAAACGGAAACAGGCCTTCTTCAGTTCTCATTGGTCATGAGTGCATGTAAATGAGCAGCAACTGCTTCCATGTGCCAGATATGCCCTTTAACTCTTCTGCACAGAATACCTCAACTGTTCTCAATAAGAATACACAATATTGTCATAACACATGCTTTTCACAAGATTGCAGACACAATACATTTAATGAATGCCTTCAGGTCAGATCTGCGAATTGCTTCCCTTGAGTTTTGGTGTTTGTCGGGATGTGCAACGTGTCCCATACTAAAATTAAAGTATTTACTTGTTGACAGTAAGTTTATACAGTATCTATAATTGTATCAGTTTAAACCTAGGAAATGTCAAAAGTTTAGCTTGAAAAGTGTGCTTGTGCTATTTTACTTGAAAATAAATTATACTTGGTTTGAATATTTGATATAAAGTGTCTAAATACTGGTTAAGGTAATAAATTCTGTTTTAATTAGATTGAATAATCTGTGATTTAAAAATGCTGGTTAAGTTAAACGATCTCCTCTTGGTGCAGAGATATAAAGTCATTTTGATAATCTCCAGCTGGTTGGATAACACATGGCATGCTATTATTGTACTAATGCGGGCTAATAATAGTCTAGATGATTCAGTTTTGTCATTTCTTAACGGTGATATTAGACCCCCTTTGAAGCATGAATCTTTAAACATGGTAAATAATAAATTATGAATACACCTTAATGGAATTTCAGACACTCTGCTTGGTTTAACTTTGGGAGTTTCATCAAAGTCAAGTTACTAATGTTTGCTTTATTGATGTTATTGTCCTCGTTTATGAATCACAGCTTTAGTGTATCACCGTTGCGGGTGAACCGTTTTACCGACCAGTGAGCCGAGGGTTTGATTGAACTTTTTTCTCTCACATTTTCTGTTTGTATTTCCTTTTGAAATTTCCATCAGATCTCAGAATGAATTCCACATCATCTCAGCATTTCCAGGGCTCAACAATAAGGATTTAAGAAAAGAAAAAAAATTACTAGCACTCGCAACATGTTCACTGGCCCTGCCACAATTAATATATGCAAAAAACTAAATTGATGTCTGTCAGAATTTTATTTTCTAAATATTTAAATGTAAATACTTTATATAATATTTATTTTATTTAATAGTAATAATAATATATATATAGCATTTTATACAAATATATTTATTTATAAAGATATTATTCTAAAGATTTATATTTAATATACAACTAGTATTTATAAATATATAATAGCTATGCTAGTATTTATAAAGATTTATATTTATTTATAATATAGATTTTATTTTATTATACTTTTTATTTTATTTTATTAGATTACACTATATTATGATTTTATCCCCCGGTTTCACAGACAATGCTTAAGCTAGTCGTAATTGCACATTTGAGCTGTTTTAACTAAAAGCATCATATCTTAAAATATATCAGTGCTATAGTTTTGTCTCAAGATGCACACCAGTAATGTTTTTCTCTAAGGCACGTTTATAAAAGCTACTTAAATGCCCTAATTGAACTAAGGCTAATCCTGGCTTAATCTAAGCCCTGTCTGTGAAACAGGGCCTATATGTTTTAATGAAATATACGTTTAGAGTTTTGAGTCCAAGACTATCACTAAAGTTAAAACTTTACCTTGATGACATATTTAACTTGACACAAGGAATAGAAACACAAAAACTAAAAAACTGTAAGATAAAGTGACAACGCAGCTTTGTCAACTCACCGACCCATCCTTATTTTTGAGCCCTAATTTCTTCTGTGCCAAGACAGCTAGAATTACCTTTTTGATATCTCTACTAATGGCATAATATCATGCTTTGATGCCAATCATGAAACTAAAAATTCAAAAAGACAAAATCAGCCTTGGTAGTGACATCAAATAGTGTAAGTCTGCAGCCTCAGTGTGGATCCGCTGTCTCAATTCTCTTTCTGTTTCCACAGATGTCATTATCTCATGCTCTGGCTCTTTTTCCTGTCGTTTCACTCATTGTGTTGTTTTCTCATTGCTCTTCACTCCTTGGTCCCGTCATTAATGCATTGACTCGTATGGGGGGGTCGTTCAGCTGCTGGCTGGGATGATAGCAGAACCTGCTTTTCTCTCTGAGTATACTATCTTTGCTCTGGACCACTCAAAACGACCCAAAGCGGCCCAGGTGCCCAGTGCGGTGAGTCTGTCCTCACACATCGCCTCCTCTTCCTCACCCCTGGAGAAATACCCGTCCCTCTGTGATGCCTTTGGAGGTTATGGGCTAGAGGAGGCCGAGTAACACCTGCTTGCAGCTTTTCTCACTGAGCGTTTCACTAGCCGCTCTGCATAACTCAAAGGCATCTCGCTCCTAACCCCTGCAT